TGGACTCGAGTTTGAAAGAGTGACCCTGGTTGTGTTGTAGGTGGTGGAAAATAGCTGAGGAGTAGCCGTTGGCACTAGGTCGGCAATGTTCTTTGTACCTTACTTTAAGCGGTCGACTTGTCTCTCCGATGTAGGTGTTGTTACAATTGGGCTCCTCACATTTGAGTCTGTAAATAACATTCGCCTTGGTACCCTTGTGAGGTCGGTCCTTAGGGTGTACCAGTCTTTGTCTGAGGGTTGAGTGAGGTTTGAAGTTAGTGGCTATGTTGAAGTTTTGGAAGATCCGTCGGAGTTTCTCAGATACTCCTTGGACATACGGAATAGTGATGTTGGCCTTGTTTTTGTTGGTCAATGGTTTGCACTTCTGGGTTTTCTTAGACTGATCTGAAGGTTTGAGCGCTTTATTGAAAGTCCAGTTTTGGTACCAAAACAGTTTTGGGAAGGGGGGCTACGGGTCGATCTTTCCGGCACTTGGGATTTGGCACTCCCAGCCCCGAGGACAGACAACACTTAAGCTCCTGTCCTGTATAACAGGAGCTTTCAGACTAATTTGCATCATCTTGTCTTGACTTGTCTGACTTTTGTTCCTTTTTCGACTTCCAAAATTTGTCTTCACCTTATTTGCATATCAATGAACAGGTTGTGTATAAAAACCTGCTTTCCCCTCTGGTCTCTCAGTCACTGACGAAAGCTAGTGGATACTAGCTGAAACGTCTGACGCTTTCAAAATCATATCCAGTTGCTTGAGTAACTTTTTTTTGGCAGGTATAAAATTGGTCTGCGTGCGCGCGCGCGCGTGTGTGTGTTTCCGCACATTTGTAGTCACCATAACTTCAGAACGCCTTCATGGATTGTACATAATAATGCGACAAATAAAAAGAATTTACACACAACCATTTTTCATGGAGGTATGGGATCTCCGAATTCTTGTTTCTTTCTTGTTTTGTGGGCTTCGACGGTCTGTGTTTTATGCGGACAAGGAGTCACGATCCTTAAAGGTTTATTCTAAAGCCTTCAAAGAATGCTTAATATTTCGCTTACTAGTACAAACCTGCCTTTTGCTTTAAGTTGTCTGACAGCCATTTTTGCCCCAGTAGACCTGCGTGTTAACTAGTACAGCGCTTCTCTGGCGGCTGCGAAAGTTTCCTGAAGTAGCTAGCAATCAAGCTGCTATCCAGCCATTTGTGGCCATTTGTCGAACCCTTCCATTCAGCTAGCTACATAAACCGTCCGTACGAAACTCATGAAATGCGTCTTCTCAATTTATAAATATTTATTAGGAGCTAGTAGCACCAGTGATTGAGCTAAGACCAATGACTTTATTTCTTCATTTTCTAGTTGCTATGAGCGAACGCCAAGCTTATTTAGGGTTTGATAGTCGCTATTCTTGAACCAGCTATTCAGCCTCTTGGAAACCCGGACATGGCCGGGACTGTGCATGGCGCAGTAGGGGCTGGTTCAGCTTAGCTAGATTGGTTTTCCAGATTCTTTTTTTTTATTGTTCAGTGTGTTTTTGCTCTTGCCGACTCCTTGCTCTATACTATATTACTAAGAACATGACGACAAGCATCCTCCATTCACTTTAAGATACTAGTACCTGACGCATATAACGTCCGGGTGATATTGCCAATGGGCTATTCGGAATACGTCTCTTGCATCCATAAGTTAGCCAAGGCTGAGGCTGAGCAAGCTCCCTATACCAGTACTCATGCCCAACAATTTTCATGACTTTTGTTTTTGGTTGATGTTCACTTAGCTTTGGTAATGGTATGAGTAATAAGTTACAAAAATGTTTTGTGATCAGCTTCCGATCTGTGCGCTAATTGTATTCGACAATGGCATATGTAGGCGGCGTACATGTGGGTATCTATTCTTTAAAACAGCAACATCAGATTGAACCGACTTTGAGCTGATGATTTGCCACTGTACTGACCCGCGCCTCACCCTCATAATGGATCTATGCATTGTCGACCACAATTTTGTGGAGGATTATTTCGGTGTTGTGACCTAATGGCTGCATGGCGACCCATGTATGTGCATTGACGCTTCTGTTGTCCTTGAACCCTGTTCAACTTTGTGTTTAGCTAGTGCTTACGAATAATGATATAACCGTGATATCCGTTATGGTAGAACGTGCATGGCATGGCCTTGGTGGTTCCATGGTACATTTGTACGCTATGGGTTTTCATGTACATTGTTCCAGTGATGGGACAGAATTGAATTTGAAAGGAAACGAAACGAATCAATACCATTTGCCCAGTGGTTCTGTTGTTCTCAAAAGTGCACCATGGATGTTAACTGTTATAGCTCAGGTAAAACTCTTAGGCGTACCCGGCAAGCAGTATCACCGCCGGTACGACCTAATCTTCCTGTATATAATTTGAACGATCTCAAATCTGTCCCCAACCTTTTAGAGATGCATATGTATGCATGCGACACCATTTTGTATGCCTCTGCGAAGTCCCTCAAGGAGTATGAAGATACTATCTCCTCTGACATGGGTAAAGGGCGTCTGCTCGGTTTATTGCCAATAACGTAAAATGGAAGCCTTTGATGTGCCTAAAGAAAACCGATGTTGTTTAATTCATCTGAAAAGTTT